TAAAAAAAACACTGATATTGAATGAAAATACGAGTATTGTATCCTTTAAATAAAACTTTGGCTCTGGTATGTTTTGAAGTACGGAAGGTGAAGACTCATATCCAATTTTGGAAGCCGACCCTTTTTTTCTCTCGTTCACATTCTACCGACAACTCGATATCTTGTGACCATTTTTATATACAAAGAAGGAAGTAATTAGGTGAGACTTCATTTTCTAGTTGTGAAAATAATGACAATCGACCATTTTAAATTGTTGTTCTATTTATAAGGTAATACAATAGATAACTGAAAAAACTATCTAAAAGTACATGAATGTCATGAAAAATAATTGCATATTAGGAAAAAAAAAATGTCGTTTGAAGAGTATCATAGACAATAAAAAACGTAAAAACAAATGAGTAAGCCTCGTTAAAAAATCACTCCAAAACAAATGCCCACACCGTAAGTTTGTTTTGTTTTCATAATGTGTTTATAATTATTCTATATAATATCAGTTTTTTAAATTTGTATGACATCTTGGTTAAATTTGACATACTAATTTTATGTACAGTAGATTATTATTATTATTATTTTAAAAAGACAAACCACACGAAACAAAACTTTTGGATACGGAAAAAAACACAAATTACAATTCGAATCAAAGAAATTAAGAGCTACTTTGCTATTGTTGTGTTTTAATGAAAAAATTGTTTCTACTGTGCTGTGAGAATAAGTAACTGAAATAAAGCAGTGAAGTGTTTGGTAAACTACAGTTGTAAAAGTGCTTTAAAAAAAACAGTGTTGTAGTATTTGATAAATTTTAATGTAAATAGAATGACCAAAAAAGACATAATACTAGAATTGCTATTAATTTACTTGTTGGGCAAATAAAGGTCAATTATGAAATATACTTGATTTTAATAAAAATATTTTTATCTTAATTTAAACATATCTCAAATACTAATTAGTACGCAAATTACTTCAAAATATTAAATATTCCAAACTGAATTGCTATGATTCATTAGCACAACATCAACACACTTAAAATACCATCAATCAATTGACACATGCTTCAATAGAATATGAATAAAAATTCAAAAGTTGTGCAATGTAAAAGTAGTCTAGTTAGATGCATTCATCAAACTTGCGGCTATGCTATTTCTTTATACTTGTATCTCATGTGGTCATTTGGCTTGATAATTATGGTCTTCGTCTCCATTATCACTATCATCATTACTATCGCTTTCTTCACAAAAGTTATTGGGGTCATCAAAATGGTGATTACATTTAAAATGCTTCCATATGTAGTTAAAGAGTCATTGTAGTAATTGACAATCTTCACTTGCTTATTGAAAAGCTAATTAGGCATATTTTAAAATTGCCCCTTTGTTTTCTTCCATACCCCAAATGTCTGTTTAATGATGCTCCTAAGAGAAGAATGCATGTTGTTGAATACCTCAGGCACCCCTATGAAAGTCCGGGAGATGATATCTTTATGGTCCCAAATACCCTCTCCTTTGTTGGTACCCCCCCATCTACTAAATAATATTTTCCTATCAATTGATGCAAATGTAATAATTACACAAAATGAGTATGTAATATGTTATAACACGTATAAAGATTCCGGAAAAATAACAAGAAGATTACCACTTGAAGGCTTTGAAAAATTTAAATATGGATTTCATAGCATCGATAGGAAAACCCTTGTATCATGTGCGGTGCCTTCCCATCTGACACAAGCAAATGTGAATTGCATGTCAAAATTACATGCTTCAATAACATTATGAGTCGGCCTTCCTTTCCTACCAATGTATGGAACTTGACTCGTAGGTGGTATTGAAGCATCAACATGTACTCCATCTATGGCACCCATAGGTCCATACAATCCTAAAAATAATAACGTATTATAGTTACTAAAGAAGTTAGAAGAAGAGTAAATAAACTTTACCTTAAAATGAGTTAGGCATGTATCTAGTATCTCCCCTTATTTCTTGTGGAGTGCCACTAAGCACCAAATCCATTGGTGAGATGATATCTATTGTCATCTTACATACAATATCCAACATATATAGCACCAAAATATCTACTAACAGTATCACCATAATGTTGATCTCTCTCCTACGCTAATCTGTCTTTTCACACCTTCCCAACATATGCAAACTACTTGTCGGTCTTAGGTGGAGGATCAATGGTTCCATCAACCAAACTGAATTTGGTCTTCGCGCTTAAGCTAATTAGCAAGACTCCGAGTATTGTAGTTGTCTCCTTGAACGTGTTATGGAAACCAAGATGTTCCCAAGTTGATTGGAGGGATGTAAAGTAAAAGTGTTTGAGACATCAGTGAATATCTCTGCTGATTTTGGGTTCGAGACGTCAGTGGACATCTTAGTTGATTTTGGGTTTGCTACTGGTTTGCCCATGGTGGCGATGTTGTCTGTTGAGGTTGCGGAAGTGATGTGGGTATTCAGAGTCACCAAAAACGATGCTACAACATGTTGAAAATAGAACAGCTAGCTAGGGTTTGATGAACACCAAGACTAGGAGATAGATGGAGAGAATCCTCAAATGTTTTAATTGATTATCTTCTTTACATGGAATGCAAGGTTTATACAATACAAAGTAGGCTATGGAAGTGAAATCTGAAATATCAATACATGATTTACATGGATTCTATCTAATCCTACAATCAAGGGAAATAAAATATCCTAAATAATATTGTCTTCTAATTAAAACCCTAAACTATTCAGACCTACACTTGTGCATTTCCAACAAAAACAACCAACTCAACCACTCTTGTGCATAGTAAAGGCAAATTGCAACGGAGCTCCCACAGCAGTACTATATTTTTTTGGGAAATTTTATTTGAATTGAACTCATGTAACCTCTTTCTACACCCAACTTACTCTTTACACCCATATTATTTTTAATTAAATACTTAATATCTCATTAAACCCAAATTTACTACCTAAACTAACCTCACAAACCCATTTCAAAATGTAAATTTATCTTTACACCCATTTAGAAAATAAAATCTCAAATTGAATAATTTGGTGAAGTTTCTACTTGTTTATGAATCTTCCATTTCTACTTGTTTATGAATCTTCTATATACTAATTTTCTGTCGAATTTGAAAGAATATTAGGTTAAAAGGGTGAAAATCCTTCAGCCTCCATCTTCATCAACTCAATGCCGTTGCTACTCCTCTGCATATATATATATATATATATATATATCTAGTAAAAAAGAGAAACATTGTATTAACAATAATTTCATTTTTAGTTTCTCCTTCAGAAATATTATAAAGGTTAAAATTGGTTTTTCTCTATGAGAGCTCTTAGGGGTTTAACAGGAATAAAGGTAAGATAAACATTGTATGATGGTAGGGTTTAATTTTTTGGAGTGGGTTTATTGATAAATATTAGTTTTATTGTTAATTACATTGGTCCAAATAAAATTTCCCTATTTTTTTTTGTAAGGCTTTTTAGCCCTATTTTTTTTTGCAAGGCTTTTTAGCCAAAATAGTTTCTGAGATTTGCATAACTCTTTACTACGGTCCCTGAGATTTGAAATTGATAGAATTGGTCCCTAAGTTTGTCCACAATCAATCATTTAGGTCCGTCCTTGAAAAATCTCCATAAAATAAGGTTAAAATGATAAAAATACCCTCAATTATTTTCCAAATTATTTTGGCCTATTGTTTATTAATTTGAGGGTAATTTTTTCATTTTGATCTTTATTTAACATAATTTTTCACCGAATGATCAAAATAATTGATGGTGGACAATCTTAGAGACCATTTCTATTGATTTTAAATCTCAGGGACCAAAGTAAGGAGTCATGCAAATCTCAGAGATTATTTTGGGTAAAAGCCCTTTTTCTAATACAAAGATACCTTTATCTTAAAAAGCAGTGCAATAAATTGGTATTGAACTCAACATTCCTGATATTTGAACTTAAGAAATCTCATTTACAAGTGAAAAGTAATATTAGTAGATCTTAGTATTAAGTGACCACACCACCACTATATTAATTATTGTTGAATAAGTTTAGATACTAAAATTTATAATTTTTGTGTTTTTTTTTGAACTGAAAGTAGGATTAACCAGGGCACAACGGTTAGCAAGAACAAAGAAAGCCAACGAAGGCTGACAAAGAAACAGAAGAAGCAGCGACATCTAAAGGATTACAAACAGACTATTTTATAAACTTAACTAAAATATCAAAAAAATTATTTTAGGAGCCATCTGAAAAAGTTTTTCTCCAACATACTCCATACTTTGAAAACTATGAGCCAATTAGCAGGCAATATGTATTAATATATTATTTACTTAAAATATTATTGAAATAATTAGCATTAACTACATAGAACCACCCGGAGCTCCTAGAGAAATCTCTCTCTTAGGAGGTGGATAGAGATTGAAGTTGCTCTTGAAATCACCTCTAAGTTTTAGTTGTAGCTCATTTAATAGGATAAGGATTGTCTGTCCTCCCATTTCTGGCGCCCTTTCGTCCCCTCTTGTTTTGTGTGATCACGGTTAAGTTACGTCAACATTTTATATTTTTTTTATAGAGATAATAAGACAAAAATAAATAGTAATATAAAATGTTGACGTGACTTAACCGTAATCACATAAACAGGAGGGCACTGGAAGTGGGAGGGCAGACAATCCTTGTCCCATTTAATACAATCCTTGTCCCATTTAATAAGCTCATCAGAGATGCTGTTAGAATAGTAAATCACATTAGACTGTGATCAATAAGGCGATGATGATACCACTTAATATTATTGCAGTAATATTCATCTTAACATATAAGTGAAAAGTTTTATATTTAAATCTCATAAACAGCAAGTTTAATATCATTTTATTTATCTCACCTCTTAATTTAAATATATAATTGTATATGAAAAATTGACGATGTAAATCTCGACGAGGTTGGTAAGCAAAAATAGTAAAATACACCTTAATTTCAATTCTCGTTAAATTGACGATGGCTCGTCGCAATTACTCTGCTACGCTGCTGCCAACCATTCAGAAAAATCAATCCTTTTTCAGTTCTTTTACGATAATGTCCTTAAAGATTAGTGACAACCCAAGGGACAAATGAATATTTCACAATTTCTCCCGCGGTTCTATATTTTTGGGGGATGTCCCGTCCCAAACCAATTGGCATCACGTTTCCGACTCTTCGTTTCCTCCTCTCCCCGGTCCCAATCTCCGCTAATTTTCTCAGCAACCAAACACCCCCATTTCTTTCTCTGCCCTTTTTCTTGAAAGTCCATAGCTAATGATGAAGATAAAATGTGGGTCATAGACTCTCTAAAGAAACAGTCCTTTTTTTTCAGAATTTATTGAAAAATCTGTGGTGGCTCTGATTTTCCCTCTCTTTCTCTACTCTGTTTTTATGCAAGTTTCTGTTTGGTTTCCCAGAAAATCTCAGGGAAAAGGAAGGGAAAGAAGGTGCAAGTTTACACACTGTGTAAGTACACATTTCCAAAGCCTAAATGCTAATATTTTATTTATTGTTGATTTTCCCTCTATTGTTGGTTCTTTTTTTATTTTTTATAATTTTTTGTTTATTTTATAATTCTTGTGGGTTTATATGTTTTTAATTTTATTTTTGTCCACAAATGTTCGAAATAGTAATAATTGTTGGCTGATTCGAAGAGAACCATTATCTGTATCTCGCAGAAAGTTTTAGCCTTGCAGGTACACTTCTATTGAAATTTTAGAGACTGTAAATTTGATGGGTGGCATAGGGGTATTATTGTCTTTCGCAACCCAACCAATAACTTGCAGGCTCACCATAGCTTTTGGTGATTTCCTAGGATCCCTCAAGAGTCAAGACCAATAGGATCCTCTTCGGATTCATTTGGTATGATTTTGAAGATTCCTAAATCGCGTTCGTTCATCGTATATAGTACGGTTAATTTTTATCAGGTACTGTTTGTATTTAATTTTAAATAAAAATATTTAAAATAATTTCTGATCATACGATGTACGATAAATAAATATGATTTACGCATCTTCAGAATTCTCACAAAGAGAATGTGTGAGGATCCGAATTCCCCTCAAGAGAGTCAGCTGTGACATTCATAATTTAAAATTTTATTTTGTTGCTTTTGATTTGCTCTTTGTTTTCTTAAGGTAGCTAACAAATAGGGGAGTTGGTATTTGGTGCTTGACTACTTGTATCATAATCAAATGCCAATTTGGATCCTTATCATATCTTCTTTGTGAGAATCTCGAAGATTCGTTAATTTTGTTCGTTCATCGTATATCGTGCGTTTAGAAATTATTTTAAATATTTTTATTTAAAATTAAACACAAATAGTACTTGACAAAAACTGACCGTATAATGTACGATGAACAGACACGATTCACGGATTCCCATGATCCTCACTAAAAGGATCTGGAGAGGAACCTGTTGGCCATTTTCCATCGTATCTGTGTTATTTTCTTATGACCTCGGCAAACAGTTTAACATATTATTTTATGTTGTGAGATTATTATTTTCGTGTGCATAATTGCATAAATTTAATTTATTTAATTTTGAGATTGATAGTTTGACGACATAATATGCAATCAATATTCTTTTGGCTGTCGGAAAATAAAAATCTCTCAAACATCAATCGTTTCTTCGAATATTTAGGTCAGTCAGACACGTTTCCTAGGCCTAAATTTCCATGTTGGTTTCAGAGTATATTTTAATTTGGGGACCGAAGCAAAGAGAGTTCGTTCAAGTTAACCTTGTCGGACTACTTTTGGTTGTCTCACTTCATAAATATTAAACAAGTTTGCTTAACTTGGAATTAGTACATAGTCATGTACATTAATCAAATTGACTCACTGTCATAAGGCTGGTAGTTTTTACGGGGTCAGAGTTTTAACACCATTTTTTCTTGAATATTCAACAGGCCAACACAGCTATTCATATTATACATATATTTTATTTCACTAGAGTTAGTTAATCGTGTCTTTAATCCGAGTTAGTTCGTCTTAGGTTATGGTTTAGGATTTGTTTAGTGTTGTTTGTGATTGATTTTCGTCTTAGGTTATGTTTCGGATTTGTTTAGTATTGTTTGTGAATGATTGCATAAAGTCGTAGGTTGAAACGGATATTCAAAGATTGCATTTTGTGCAAGGAACTTTTGCAATTATATAGCCCAGGATTCTTGTAATAACCGAGAGTATGAGCCTTGCACATGCGCATGACAGACCTTATCTGGAATACGCGAAGGAGACAACTTCTCTCTGAGATACTTTGAGGACCACATTCTTGGGGCGTCTTGTAGAACTTTTTGGTGGTATATTGACTGTATTGTAAGTGCTCTTTTTTTACTCTTTTTTTTTTGTTTTTTTTTTGTTTTTTGTTTTTTGTGAAAAAAGGTGATGATTTGAACGTGATTCATGGTTACTCTTAGTTACTATGCTTGCTAAAATAATTGCAAATTTGTTTTGTTAGCGTAGTTCTTTGAATCCTAAAAATTGATTACTGTCACTGTTTACGGTTTTGAATTCTGAATTATCACGGTTAGGCTTTTCTGGCGTTTGTTTTGGGTGGCATTGAATCTGGAAGCTATAGTTTTAACTATTGGAAAGATAACTATGCTGATATATGTAAATCACATTATGCAGGGATTTAACTCAAGACTCTTTAGTTCCTTGTCTTTTGCTGGTGCAAAATGGCTACAAATACCACAGTTGCAAGTGCATGTCCAACACCGATGACAGCAACATCTAATGGGGTCTTTCAGGGTGATAATCCTCTGGATTTTGCTCTCCCTCTTGCCATCTTACAGATATGCCTTGTGGTTGCACTTACACGGATTCTTGCTTATCTTCTTCGACCACTAAGACAGCCTCGTGTGATTGCCGAGATTGTGGTAAGTATATATACTTCTTGTTTGCTGTATATACAATGATGGCCTTCAAAACGATAGTCATTTATGCAAATGATGTAATCAAATTTATGTGAGTGGAAATCTTACCCCTTCTCTTTTTGCCTTTGGTTGAATATTTATTTGAGAACTTTTTGTTGAATATGCAAATGATGTTATCACTGAGGAGGGAGGGAGAGAGAGAGAGAGAGAGAGAGAGAGAGAGAGAGAGAGAGAGAGAGAGAGAGAGAGAGCGAGAGAGAGAGCGCTATCATGCACCATGCACCGCTACAAGTGACTAAGAGGAGCGATGCATTTCTGAACAATATGTTGTGGGAGTTAACAGATACTGGTCCTTTCATTGGCAACTTCTCGTCTGAAAGACAGATGTTTTCAGTGGCCTTTGAAGTAAAACCATATGTGCCGTTCAAACAATAATTCCTCGTGTCCAAAAGGAAGAATGAAAATAACATAAATATTCTGTTCTATTTACATTTATTGTAAGTAGACAAGTATCTGAACATCCTTGTGCATTGGAGAGAGTTCAACTTAGTATTGCTTTTTCTGCAGGGGGGAATATTACTTGGCCCTTCAGCTCTTGGTCGCAACAAAGACTATCTCGAAGCAATATTTCCAAACAGAAGTCTCACAGTGTTGGATACTTTAGCCAATCTTGGTCTTCTCTTCTTTCTGTTCCTAGTGGGCTTGGAGTTGGATCCTAAGTCCCTCCGCCGCACTGGAAAGAAGGCTCTATGCATTGCACTTGCAGGAATTACCCTACCTTTTGTTTTAGGAATTGGTACATCATTTGCCCTCAAAGGAACTATTTCTAAAGGTGTAGATGGACCACCATTTCTTGTTTTCATGGGAGTGGCTCTTTCTATAACTGCCTTCCCTGTTTTGGCACGTATTTTGGCTGAGCTCAAGCTTTTAACTACTGATATTGGCCGAATGGCCATGTCAGCAGCAGCGGTCAATGATGTGGCTGCGTGGATTCTTCTTGCTCTTGCCATTTCCCTCTCCAGCACTGGCCGTTCTCCCCTGGTTTCCCTATGGGTTCTCTTATGTGGGTGTGCTTTTGTCCTCAGTTGTGTATTTTTTATTCGACCAATCTTTAAATGGATGGCACAGCGCTGTCCCGAGGGTGAACCAGTAGAAGAATTGTATGTATGTGCTACTTTAGTTGCAGTTTTGGCAGCTGGGTTTGTCACTGATACTATTGGAATTCATGCCCTATTTGGAGCATTTGTGCTCGGAATTATTGTCCCAAAGGAAGGGCCATTTGCTGGCGCTCTTGTTGAAAAAGTTGAGGATCTCATATCTGGTCTGTTCCTCCCGTTGTACTTTGTCTCGAGTGGATTGAAGACTGATATAGCTACAATTCGGGGAGCTCAGTCATGGGGCCTCCTCGTTTTGGTCATTTCAACAGCCTGTTTCGGGAAGATCATTGGCACAGTAGCTGTTTCCCTCCTCTGCCGAGTGCCGTTTCAAGAGGCTCTGGCACTCGGGTTCCTCATGAATACTAAAGGGTTAGTGGAGCTTATTGTCCTTAACATCGGTAGAGACAGAAAGGTAAAATTAAGCATTTTCCATTTTTTACGGGAGTCTCAAGGCTTTTTCTTTAATATTTGTATACGCGTGTACCTTAAGGTGCTAGCTTTCTGTTATTGCAGGTTTTGAATGATCAAACATTTGCAATCATGGTTCTCATGGCTATCTTTACAACCTTCCTTACGACGCCTGTAGTAATGGCAGTATACAAGCCAGCTAAAAGAAAGAGTATATCTGATTACAAGTACAGAACTATTGAAAGGAAAGATCCAAACACTGAGCTCCGGGTTTTGACCTGTTTCCACGGTACAAGGAACCTCCCCACAATGATTAATCTCATTGAGGCTTCTCGTGGGACTGAAAAGAAGGAACGTCTTTGTGTCTATGCAATGCATCTTATGGAGCTTAATGAGAGATCTTCTGCGATTCTGATGGTTCACAAGGCAAGAAGAAATGGTCTACCGTTTTGGAACAAGGTGAAGGATTCAGATAATCATCAAGTAGTTGTGGCTTTTGAAACGTTTGAGCAGCTGAGTCGAGTGGCTATCCGTCCAATGATAGCAATCTCTTCCGTTTCTAGCATGCATGAGGACATTTGTGCAATGGCTGAAAGGAAAGGGGCAGCAATTATTATTCTCCCATTCCACAAGCACCAGAGGTTGGATGGGGTATTGGAGACAACCCGAACTGAATACAGAGGGGTCAATCGTAGGGTTCTTGAGCATGCTCCATGCTCAGTTGGGATCATGGTGGACCGTGGCCTTGGTGGAAGCACCCATGTATCTGCCAGCAATGTTTCTTCAAGCATAGTTGTCCTATTCTTCGGGGGTAGTGATGATCGTGAGGCCCTTGCTTATGGAATGCGAATGGCTGAGCACCCGGGTAACAGTTTAACAGTTGTCCACTTCTTAGCAAGTCCTGAACTTCAGGGGGAAATAGTCCAAGTGGATATAAACGAGGGCTCCAACACTTCAGCAGGGTCAGCGACTGAGATGTTTCTCGCTGAATTGAAGCAGAAGATTTCAAATAACAGCTCAATCAAATATGAGGAGAGGGCAGTGAGAAATGCTGCAGAAACTACTGATTTGATTCGTGAGTTTAACCGATGCAATCTATTTCTGGTTGGTCGAAGGCCTGATGGTCAAGTAGCTGCTGCCTTGAATCTGAAGGGAGACTGTCCGGAGCTGGGGCCTGTAGGTATCTTGTTAACCTCTCCGGATTTCACAACTACAGCGTCGGTCTTGGTTATGCAGCAGTATCATGGGCTGGAAGTAGTTCCAGGTTCAGTTGGTTTGTCTAAGGTAGTTGTGTTGCCCGAGGACGAAGATTCAGAAACCGGCTGATCAGCTCTCCCAAGCCTGTGTTGGTTTCATTGTACAGATGATGATGAAAAGTATGGTTAGATAAATGTCTCTCTTTCCCTCCATTTAAACTGCTTGTTTATGAAAGGTCATAAGTTTTAGTTGTCAATTTGTACTTATATATGGATGGATCTGTCACCTGTATAGATCATACCTAATAGATGCACCTACCTAATGCCTAAACACATAATACTCTTTGCAATGCAAGTATTCTTTGTGCAATTCCAGTTCGAAGGGTGAAAGAAAATAAGAACACTGCTCGTCTCCCTTATTGTAAGGAATAATTCATTGTTACATGCAAGTCACAATATGACATATAAGCAAAACTAACTGATGGAAAGTACAAAAGAAACGTTTATGTACGTGTTAAACTGTGAATTATCTGCAAACTAGATCAAAAGACTCATAGAAAATGAGCAAAGTATTTTCAAAAATTTGGAAGAGAGAAAGTTGTGGACCTGCATTGCACATAGATATAGACTTGAACTGCCAAGTGTTAAATGCTATTATATGATTCACAAAGAGATTTTTCATTTGCATTAATCTAAACTATGAATGAAGAAGGGATATTATTGCAACGTTCTTTCATGAAAATTAGGTTTTTATTTTTTATTTTTTATTTTTTATAATTTATAATTTTAGGGCTTAAAAATAAGATTCTTCTTAGATTTTAACCTGAATATATCTAGGGGTGTATTATGTATGAGAGAAATGCTAAAGAAACTCTCTCAAAAGTGGAACTCTCTATGAACTCTCTGTCATATCATGTTTTTGACATCATATTTTATAGGGAATTTTAAGGAAAAGCCCATGGTACTGTTAACTTTAACAAAAAACCACATTTTTACACTAAAAAGTCAATCATGGTACTATTCACTTTACTCTTCATTTTGTCTTTATCGTTAAAACTCAAAGTTTTCAAGCATTTTTCATTAATTTTCCTTATTTTTTAATGTTGGTAGGAGAATTAAGATGTTAAAGTGTGAGGTGACAGAGAGTCCATAGAGAGTCTCACTCTAAGAGAGTCTCCTTAACATTTATATATATATATATATATATGAAGTTTGGTCATAGACTTCGCTTGACTTTAAAATCCAAATGTATTCAATATAGACTTTTAATGAGTCAGTAAAAGTCACCAAATTTTTAATGAGAACCAAATCTTTTGTACCCACAATAGGTGAGGTCTCTCTGTGGCCACAATAAGTCATTGACACGTATGCATTATCTTAACTTTTCTTAATTTTGTTTTCATAAATTTAATATGTGCCAAACACTTATTGGGTCCATAGAAAGGCCACACCTATTTTGGGTGCAAAAAAGTTGATCAGGTTTTGAACAAAGACTTTTTATGACTTGTAAAAAGTTTTACAAAATTCTTGTTGTATTCAGTTATGACTTTTAGTGAGTCTACAAAAAATCGAGGTGTATTCAAAATTTCATTCTTTTAAAGGATTTTAAAAAGTCATGGATTTTGATGAACTTTTAGTGCTTTTATGATAAATTTTTTGTCACATTAAAGCCAAAATTTCCCCCTAAAATTTTGAAGGATTTCATTGTTTCTCAATTCTATAATGGTAACTCTTCCACCGACAATAATGCAATTACTATAATTATTACCACTTCCACCACCATGTCGCCACCTTCACTGTCACAGCCCGTCCCGGAATTTTTAATTCCAAGGACGTGAAATTACGAAAATGCCCCTAATACGTGACTAAGGTATAATTTTTACGTTCGTTATATCTAAGCTCCTAAAATTTGGTAAGTAGAGTGGAGACTTAGATTTAAATTTATGTTAGAATTTTGTAGTTGGGGATTGGGTAGGATCCCACACCCCTTAATTCTTTCCCTCTTTCCCGTACCCTGTCTCTCTCTCTTCCCTCACGACTCTCTCTCACTCTCAGTTCTCTCTCTCTTCCTCTCCGACGCTCAACCTCACCCAAAACCACCTAAAACATAAACAAACGTCCAAGGTAAGACCACATTTGGACTCCTGGAACTTCCACGATCACGTAGACATCAATTTCAGGTAAGTTCTACTTCGGAAAACGTAGTTTTAAAAAGTTCCCGTGAAGAGCACTGTTCATGATCTTTGAATATGTTGTGTTTTAGGGAAATCTAAGCTCACAGGGAGCTCTAGGAGGTTCCCACGAAGCTCGGAGTGCTTCGTTGGAAGTTTTTGGACGAAAGAACACGGAGATCGACGAGTTCAAAGTTTGGCCGGAGCTTTCGAGGCATTTTCCGGCGAATCCCCGGCGAGTTAGGAGTCAAGGTAGGTATCAATCTCTTCGTCTCGTCAAGTACTACAACTTTCCTTTTTGTTTCACTCAATTTCGTTGAGTATTGAAGAAGTTAGACTCATTTGAAAAATACCCAGTTTCCGGCGACCTCCGAGGATTTCGAGGCAGTTTCCGGCTAAACCACGGCGAACTAGGTGTTGTGCAAGGTACCATTCTCTTTGTCTCTTCAAGGGCTACAACTTTCGTTTTTGAATCACTTGATTTCGTTGAGAAATGACAAAGTTATGGCAATTTGAAAAACTGCCCGGAAAAACGGCCGCCGGAAAAACCAGTCCGGCGACCCAAGGAAGAAGAAGGTGCTACAGTAAAAAATAAAAATAAAAATAAAAATATTTTAAAAATATGTCGACGTCTGTGACGTCGAGTAGATCACCGTGGTATATTCATATACCCAATTTGAGCACCGTATGAGAAAGTTATTAAGGATTGTTGGTTAGGTGTTCGAATAACGTTTTATAGTTTTGGTGAAAATGTGAATTGATGATCCGACCGTTGGATCGTCACCAAACTTTGATACGTTGCAATACGTAATATTTAAGGACTATTGGAACTTATGGATTAGGAATCCGAGTTACGGATCTTCCGGAATTAGAATTGTAAGTCCATAATATAAAATGTTAACCGTCACTTAGTTTTGGAAATTGACGGAGATCCGACCGTTGGATGGTAATGAAATTTTAGGATGTTGTCCTAGAGGTATAATGTGGACCTCTGGAAGTTATGGATTTAAAATCTGAGTGGTGGATCTTCCGAATCGAACTACGTAGTGACGTATTTTATATAAGTTATATATTTTATCGATATGAATTCTGAGCCTGGATTTGATTACTATTCTAGGCGGCGATCGTCGTGACGCCTTGATGTGTGGTGCTAGGGAGTTGTTGGACGAACTCCAGGTGAGTGGGCAGTTTTGTTTTCCGTATATATATGTACTTGACGTTTTCCCAGAAATTGAATTTAACGGAAGTATGCTTTCAAATGCCATGCATAGATTCATATGAAAAATGTGATTTGAAATGCCATGCATAGTAATGATATGAAAAGTATATAGAAATGTGAATCGAATTGCCATGCATGAAATGATATGAAAAGTATGAATTGAGATATGATGCATATATATGAAATGGTGCTGTGGACACACAGGTGAGTATCAGGTGAGTATTATTACTGTTATGATGATGTTGAGATATGTTGAGCTCATAAACTGCACCTTGGTATTAGTGCTTATTATTATTCACCGCATCGTATGCTCACCTTGGATCCAAGTAGATGCTAGTCGTACAGACCACCGGGGGTGGTTCCGACATGCCAGTCGTACAGACCATTAGAGGGGTTCCGACTGGTAGGTGACCTTAGATTATGTGCACAGATGATTGATGAGAAAAGCACTAGAGCATATTATTACACCATTAAGTCGTACAGATTACATTAGGTAATTCCGACTTATGTGCAGTGTAGTGCCGTACAGGTCATACTAGGTGACTCCGGCATGGCCGTACAGGTCACAGTTGGTGACTCCGGTTAGATGATATTTTGAGCTCTAGATTCAACCGTACAGGACCATTGTAGGGTCTCCGGTTGATTATTTTCTTTCACCTGATTTATGTTGATGCATTCATATTATACTGTTGAATTTAGACATGGCATGGCATATTTGTACTGAAAAATGTTGAGTTAATGAATTGAAGTATTGAGAATATATATGTATATTTATATTTTACATTTCTGGGAAAGTATACAGGTTTTACGGAGAGGGGTTACAACGTTTTGAGAAATGTTTGGATTTGAAAAAGAATTGTTTTACTGACCCACTCAATTTTGGTTTTGCGCCCCTCCAGGTTCATGAATCACAAAGGTGTGGTGACTACGAGGAATTCGACGGTGTTCTGACAGATTGGACAAAATTAGGACTCACTTTCGGGTGTATCAACTTAGGAATTGTATCTTAAAGCTTCCGGACTGTGCAAATGGTTACGTCACTCTCACGTGACGGCCAGCATGCCCTCCTTCGGGACGGGGTGTGTCAGTTGGTATCAGAGCATGGTTGCCATCCTGGACATCTTGAGAATTTCCGAGTGAATTCTGTCAGAACTACACCGCCTCGTAGCAAACCACGTAGTTAGAGGAATTTAGTCTCCCTGATTTAGCGGTTTGGGGGAAACTATTTTTATGGTGATTCAGTCTATTATAAAAATTGACATTTTAAGACGGGTTATGAGTTGAATTTGAATCACCTTATGAAATGATGAACCTGAGGGAGCGAAGTAACGGTTTAACCATTTGGAAAAGATGTTTCAGATTATGCAAGTCAATGGAAATTTCCTTTTGACAAGGGGTTGAGACGACTACCTAGTTTTGGGTATGAATTTGTATCCTGGTGGAAACAGGAGTATGATTTGTTGTCACCGGAGGAACAGCCGATTTAAAATTGTTTAAGGACTTGTTTAAGGAAAAGTTTATTCCTCCGGCATTGATCGATGGTAGTAAACAAGAGTTTACAAATATGAGACAAGGAAGGTGATGATCGAGGGATATTATAGAAAGTTTTCAGACTTGCCTCGTTCCATCCAGATATTGTTGTTAATTTGGTGGAGGTGTTATGTTGTTTTAAGCTGGGTGGCAAAAAGGGAAGTGGTATTTTGGGTGACCACTATCCATTGTAGTTCTTATCAGGAGTATGCTAGATGTTGTTGAGTCTTGAGGATTCTGAGAACATGAGCAACGAGAATAAAGAAGAATAAGAAATGAATGGGAATCAAAAGAAGACGATAGAGTTAATGATTCGTCATATCAAGGATATAGAAAGATTCAGAGCTTCGAAAGAAATGAAGCTAGAGTTAATTCTTCCAGCTGAGTTTTTAATGTCGCTGGTCAGAATAAAAGTGATGGATATACTGATAATCCCAGATATTTGAGACAAGGTGTCTCGAGTAAAGGAAATGTACCTTGTGCAGCAGGTACAAAAAATTAACACTTTGGGAAATGTGAAATTAATGAATGTGTTTATGTAAACAGAGGGGACACATAATTGTGAATCGTCCCTATAATCAGTTGTACTCAACAATTTTCCATGATATCATAGTGTCAATTCAGCAGAGTTATGGACTTAGTAGTTTGGTTGGATTGACCATGAGTACCGAGAGATTTGATGAGTTATATGTTCAGCCGTACAGGCCACAAGAGGTGGATCCGGCTGACACATGAGAAATTGGTGAGTTATAGGCTCGGCTGTACGGACCACAAGATGTGGATCCGGCCGACGTATTTACTGGGGAATTGATGTGTAAGTCGTACAGGTCACTATAAGTGACTCCGACTAATGTGCTAGCATAGATGGTTGAGCTGGAGAATCAGCCGTACAGGTCATTCTAGTTGACTCCGGCTGATATATTTCTGAGTATGGACGATGATGCCAAAGAAAGTAATGTTGGAACGTGATAGAGGCGTATATGTGTATTCTAATGAAAAAAAAATGATAGTATTACACCTTTGGGAATTGTTGCTTACTTATCGAGACAACGATGATTTATCAGTATTGCGGGCTGCAGACCGTAATATTAATAACTCATTCGTGGATTCGTTAAGCAAGCAAACCGGTATGTTATTTTATGTTAGTGTTGTACTTATTTAGAATGTTCAGTAATAATAAAGTATGTATTGGGTCAGTTAATTTTATTCCATTAGATTGATTATTTATAGTTGTGACTAGATGGAATATTACGGGAAACCAGTTACTTTCCATCGATCTGGATGACCAGAGATTACTTTTGTAAGTATGCAAAATGGATTGAGTCAGGCCGTTATTTATGCTGTGAGAGCAAAGCAATTGTTTTCGAAAGGCTGTCAAAAATACTTAGCTCATGTGGTGCTAAATGATGTTGTTTGGAGTAGTGTGAATAATGTCAAAAGGGGTTAGACTTTCTTGATGTCTTCCTTGAAAGTATACCTGGATTTCCTTCAGGCAGAGATATGAGGTTCACTATTGATTTGTTGCTAGGTATAAATTTATATTGGAGATTGGTTCAGGATGAATTAAGGGAATAGGAAATTCAGTTGAGAGAATTGGTTGATAAAAGTTTTATTCAACCTAGTACAACACTGTTGAGGAGCACCAGTTTGTTGGTGAGAAAGGAAATGGACTTAGAGATTGTTCATTGATTATAGATAATGGAATCGGGTAACGAATGAGAACCGTTATCCATTGTGGTGTATTGACGCTCATTGATCAGTTCAAAGGTGCTTGTATATTTTCAAAGATTGACTTGAAGTCTGTTTATTATCAATTGAAGATTATGAGTAACGTTGTTCCTAAGATTGTTTTTCTGGACTCGTTATAGTCTTTATGAAGTTTGGTGATGCTATATGGATACTCATGTTGTTTTATGAGTTATTGGATGAAGTATTCCAATAATGCCTTGATAAATAGATATCATTTTCATTGAAGATATTCTGGCATATTCTGAGCCAGAGCAGAACATGTAAACGTATTAAGTCGGTGGAACAAAGATTGGAAGAATGTCGGTTGTATGCTAAGTAGCAAATGCTAAAGTTAGATGAATCATGTGGCATTCTGAGATTTGTTATATATTCTTAAGGTATTCAAGTGAATCCTTAAAAGATAGCAGAAATTGAGAATTTGGAACAACCACGAGTCGTAATTGAGATTTAGAATTTCTTAGCTTACCAGGCTATCTTGGATGGTTGTGAAATTTTTTTTTCAGTCATTGCTTTTGTCATTGACGAGACTGTTGAGAAAAGAGGTTATGTATGAATGGGAAGGAAATTGTGAGCAAAGGATTCAACAACTGAAGTATTTCCTTACTCATGCACGTATTTTAGTAATCCCAGAGAATAGTGGTAATCATAAATTTTTAGTGATGTTTCTTGAATGGTATTGGATGCATGTTGATGCAAATGTTAGGGTGATTGCATACGTTTCACGACAAATGGAATCTCATGAGATGAATTACCCTACTGGTGATTTGGAAGTCACGATTACCATCCTTGCTGTGAAGTTATGGAGACATTCTATGTTGATAAGAATGCAAGATTTTACAAATCAAAAGAGTCTCCAATATTTGTTTACTCGGAAGGATTTCAATATGAGGCAACAAAGGTGGATTGAATTACTTAGTGATTATGATTGTACGATCAGGGTGATCGTGAATTGTTGTAGCTGAAGCACTTGATGAGAAGACTCTAGTAAGAATTAATGATTGGTACGTTTGCCAAGATTATCTTCTTGTGGATCGGAAATCAACTGAAGTAAAGTTGAGAACTGGAGATCGAGAAGAAGCTCTACTTGTTAGATTTCAAGTTAGGCCTGTTTGGTAAGGTCGTACTCGAAACTTAAACATTTGACGAGGAAATTTAAGAATTAACCAAGGCAAGGAAAGAAGGGGAAAAAGAAAGATTCGATCACGAAGGAGTTTTAGTAGACCCTGAGACTATGGATGAGTCTCCTCAAAGTATTCAGGTGATTTAAGTTAACCTGAAGTAACCAGGAATGGCAAAAGAGATCAACAGATGGATATGCCACTAATCGAGTGTGTAAGGTAAATGGTTTGATATTTTGGAATTTCACCATGAACAGAAATAGTAAGATTCAGAAAGAAAGACAAGATAAGTCTTAAACACATCAGACCGTTTTGATCATTAAAAGAATCGATGAAGTTGCATATAAGTTTATGATGCCTTCAAAATTGTCTAAGGTGCATAATGCATTATATTTCGATGCGTTGTCACTAGGTGGCAGACTCGTCACATGGGATTCTGGTGCAACTATTGAGAATTAAATTGGATTCGACTTGATAAGGAACCAAGGACGACTTTGGATTGGAAAAAGAAGGTCCTGAGAATTGAGACAGAGTAAGTGGTAAAAGCTTTGTGAAGGAAATCATTCAGTAGAAAATTATGTTGGAGAAAGAGAATCGGATGAGAGAGATTTACCCGAGGAAATTGTATGAGTATAGATGATTTAGTTGGTTGCTGGAATTTCGGGGACGAAATTCTATAAGGAGGGGAGATTGTCACAGCCCGTCCCGGAATTTTTAATTCCAAGGACGTGAAATTACGAAAATGCCCCTAATACGTGACTAAGGTATAATTTTTACGTTCGTTATATCTAAGCTCCTAAAATTTGGTAAGTAGAGTGGAGACTTAGATTTAAATTTATGTTAGAATTTTGTAGTTGGGGATTGGGTAGGATCCCACACCCCTTAATTCTTTCCCTCTTTCCCGTACCCTGTCTCTCTCTCTTCCCTCACGACTCTCTCTCACTCTCAGTTCTCTCTCTCTTCCTCTCCGACGCTCAACCTCACCCAAAACCACCTAAAACATAAACAAACGTCCAAGGTAAGACCACATTTGGACTCCTGGAACTTCCACGATCACGTAGACATCAATTTCAGGTAAGTTCTACTTCGGAAAACGTAGTTTTAAAAGTTCCCGTGAAGAGCACTGTTCATGATCTTTGAATATGTTGTGTTTTAGGGAAATCTAAGCTCACAGGGAGCTCTAGGAGGTTCCCACGAAGCTCGGAGTGCTTCGTTGGAAGTTTTTGGACGAAAGAACACGGAGATCGACGAGTTCAAAGTTTGGCCGGAGCTTTCGAGGCATTTTCCGGCGAATCCCCGGCGAGTTAGGAGTCGAGGTAGGTATCAATCTCTTCGTCTCGTCAAGTACTACAACTTTCCTTTTTGTTTCACTCAATTTCGTTGAGTATTGAAGAAGTTATACTCATTTGAAAAATACCCAGTTTCCGGCGACCTCCGAGGATTTCGAGGCAGTTTCCGGCTAAACCACGGCGAACTAGGTGTTGTACAAGGTACCATTCTCTTTGTCTTTTCAAGGGCTACAACTTTCGTTTTTGAATCACTTGATTTCGTTGAGAAATGACAAAGTTATGGCAATTTGAAAAACTGCCCGGAAAAACGGCCGCCGGAAAAACCAGTCCGGCGACCCAAGGAAGAAGAAGGTGCTACAGTAAAAAATAAAAATAAAAATAAAAATATTTTAAAAATATGTCGACGTCCGTGACGTCGAGTAGATCACCGTGGTATATTCATATACCCAATTTGAGCACCGTATGAGAAAGTTATTAAGGATTGTTGGTTAGGTGTTCGAATAACGTTTTATAGTTTTGGTGAAAATGTGAATTGATGATCCGACCGTTGGATCGTCACCAAAACTTTGATACGTTGCAATACGTAATATTTAAGGACTATTGGAACTTATGGATTAGGAATCCGAGTTACGGATCTTCCGGAATTGGAATTGTAAGTCCATAATATAAAATGTTAACCGTCACTTAGTTTTGGAAATTGACGGAGATCCGACCGTTGGATGGTAATGAAATTTTAGGATGTTGTCCTAGAGGTATAATGTGGACCTCTGGAAGTTATGGATTTAAAATCTGAGTGGTGGATCTTCCGAATCGAACTACGTAGTGACGTATTTTATATAAGTTATATATTTTATCGATATGAATTCTGAGCCTGGATTTGATTACTATTCTAGGCGGCGATCGTCGTGACGCCTTGATGTGTGGTGCTAGGGAGTTGTTGGACGAACTCCAGGTGAGTGGGCAGTTTTGTTTTCCATATATATATGTACTTGACGTTTTCCCAGAAATTGAATTTAACGGAAGTATGCTTTCAAATGCCATGCATAGATTCATATGAAAAATGTGATTTGAAATGCCATGCATATAGTAATGATATGAAAAGTATATAGAAATGTGAATCGAATTGCCATGCATGAAATGATATGAAAAGTATGAATTGAGATATGATGCATATATATGAAATGGTGCTGTGGACACACAGGTGAGTATCAGGTGAGTATTATTACTGTTATGATGATGTTGAGATATGTTTGAGCTCATAAACTGCACCTTGGTATTAGTGCTTATTATTATTCACCGCATCGTATGCTCACCTTGGATCCAAGTAGATGCTAGTCGTACAGACCACCGGGGGTGGTTCCGACATGCCAGTCGTACAGACCATTAGAGGGGTTCCGACTGGTAGGTGACCTTAGATTATGTGCACAGATGATTGATGAGAAAAGCACTAGAGCATATTATTACACCATTAAGTCGTACAGATTACATTAGGTAATTCCGACTTATGTGCAGTGTAGTGCCGTACAGGTCATACTAGGTGACTCCGGCATGGCCGTACAGGTCACAGTTGGTGACTCCGGTTAGATGATATTTTGAGCTCTAGATTCAACCGTACAGGACCATTGTAGGGTCTCCGGTTGATTATTTTCTTTCACCTGATTTATGTTGATGCATTCATATTATACTGTTGAATTTAGACATGGCATGGCATATTTGTACTGAAAAATGTTGAGTTAATGAATTGAAGTATTGAGAATATATATGTATATTTATATTTTACATTTCTGGGAAAGTATACAGGTTTTACGGAGAGGGGTTACAACGTTTTGAGAAATGTTTGGATTTGAAAAAGAATTGTTTTACTGACCCACTCAATTTTGGTTTTGCGCCCCTCCAGGTTCATGAATCACAAAGGTGTGGTGACTACGAGGAATTCGACGGTGTTCTGACAGATTGGACAAAATTAGGACTCACTTTCGGGTGTATCAACTTAGGAATTGTATCTTAAAGCTTCCGTACTGTGCAAATGGTTACGTCACTCTCACGTGACGGCCAGCATGCCCTCCTTCGGGACGGGGTGTGTCATTCACCTTAACATGACCACTCCTCCACCCCCACAACCACTATTGTCACCATGGTCACCACCACACTCACTTCCACGAGCACCATCACCAAATCTACTATGACCACCAACGACATCATCATCACCACCACCCTCATCCCTACTTCTCCATCACCCAATAACACAGCATCACAATCACCACCCTACTATTATTATTATCGTCACCACTAAAGACACTAGATTTACTATCACCATCCTGTTAACAATCACCAAGTGACACTTCCACCACTGTCATTCCACCACCTCATAAGGCTACTTTGTCATAGTCATCATCACCATTTCAATAGTAAAAACTTAAAAGTAATAATGCTTATTAATAAATTAGTCATTAAAAAGTCTATGCGAATCCATAAAATTTAAAAATTTATATTCTTGAACTCTTTAAAATTCTGCAAATTTATATCATTTAAGTATATTCTTTTCCACAAAAGTAATCATTAAAAGCCTATGAAATTTTGTGGAGTTTATAATAATTAGTAAAAGCCTACTTAAATTTGTAATAGTCTATCACTTAAAAAACTCAACAGAGGTTTGTACACTACACCACCCTAATTAAAATCCATCAGTGTATTTGAAAGATGAGTGAAAAACCACGTGACGTAATACAAGTTGATTTACGGGCTTTTTTTTCTTCAAATATATGAAAGATCTTATATGCTTTTGGTCAACTCTTTGGGTTTAGAATAAGTTCAGAATGCTAAGGTCTTGTTTGGTATCTTATTAAATTTTTTTTTATTATTTCTCAAAATAATTGTTAAGAACGTTTCTCAAGAACATCTCTTGAAACCATTTATTTTTAAGATTTAAAAACTTGTTTGGTATGAGATTTAAAATTGCTTTTAAATCTTAAAACTTAAACTGGACAAAAGATCCAAAGAAAGGGAGTCTCTGGAGAGGGAGAAAGAGGAAAGGGGAGGAAAGAAAAAAAGAGATGATCGGAAGAGAAAGAAAGAAAATAGAGGATCAAAGGAGATGGAGAGAAGGAGGAGAGAGAGAATGAAGAGAGCAAAAATGAAGAGAGAGAGAGAGAGAGAGAGAGAGAGAGAGAGAATGAGTTTTTAAGAAAGGGAGTCTCTGGAGAGGGAGAAAGAGGAAAGGGGAGGAAAGAAAAAAAAAGAGGATCGGAAGAGAAAGAAAGAAAATAGAGGATCGAAGGAGATAGAGAGAAGGACGACAGAGAGAATGAAGAGAGCAAAAATGAAGAGAGAGAGAGAGAGAGAGAGAATGAATTTAAGTTTAAAAACTTTAAAATTTCACTTTTGGTGTTTTTAGAGAATATGTTTTTTTTTAAGTTAGTCTTGAGTTCAGTCTATGAAAATAGTCTTATCAAACAAGTTTTTAAGACCTAAAACTTGTAATATTTTTACATTTAAAAAGTTGAATTCAAGTAAAGTACGAAACAGACCCTAAATGATTGGCATATATTTTACTTTACCCACAAGCAATCTCAATGTGACAATTTATATTATTTCTGCTACATTCCTTTCAATTGTCTCTGTTTTTGGTGAAATCAGCTTTGTTTATTCTCTCTCTTTATAGAAAAGAAAAGCTTCTGTTTGTTTTTTCTTAGGAATTTCTTAGTCCAAATGATGTCTAGTCATATGGCCGACCACTTTGAATGAGAACCCTTCATTAAGGAATCAACTAGGATCATCATGAGAACATGCATGCATTCGCATAAGCAAAAGTAGTTTGCATGCCACCGTTATTTAATCTTAATAGTCATATCTATAGCCACAATCATAATACAATATTGAATGGTTGGGATTTTTGTCTTCAATTAAAAATCAAATCAGCTGTGGATCATCACGAAAAATATCAACTAAATTGCAATTTGCGGCGGGCAAATAAATGTTATGAACTAGTGACATCGGTGACAATATTGTGATGGTCATACTAAAAAAACTCTTCAAAAAACAAATGCATTATCTTTGGTCATTTGCTCCAAAATTGTGACCTCGACTCAAATTACAAATGCAGTGGTCATTCTATTAAATATACCAGATTGGAATTTCTTAATAAGTTTCTTGGAGATAAATTTTCAAATTCTTCTTATCTTATGTTAGTAGGAATTTTTTCAATGTTAGTAGGAATATTTCATTGTCAAATAATTTGAAAATTCAAATTTAGGAAAAAAAAAATTGAATTTCTTTGTCCAAGTTCTTAATAATTGTATTGATATAATAATTAGTAAATACATGGCCAGACGCCATGTTTATATAATATACATGCATACACGTTACGAGGAGGACACAAATATTATTCTACATAACATATACCACAAATCATACCATCAATCCTTCCTACATTTTCTCCTTTCCATACTTGCCTTTGATTTAATTAATTATTTGGTTTTGTAATAACTTTCTATAGGTTAATCAGTGACAGATACTTAATGACAATATATTGTCTGTTTAAACATGGACTCGAAAACATTTGGAAGAAGGCATAAAAACAAGCATTCGATCGCATAGGTAAAATCGATAAAAAGGGAATAAACTAAGGAAATGACAAAAGGGTTTGATAGTTTCTTTTCTTTGACAATCGACATGTTAGTGAGGCAGTAAGGTTGACTAGGAATATAAAATGTAAACAGGGCTCACCTCATCTGTGAGCAAAGCAGGTGTTATCCGAGAACAATTAGTTGATTTGGATTTGCAAATTATTATAGATTATTCGTTGTTAAAATAGAAAGAATTTGGGGAAGAAGGGTTCTCGGGTAATGAATGAGAAGATCAAAAAGTTAGAAGAAGAAGGGAATTTTTTTGGTTACGTATTAGAAAGTGACTCCTTTTTAATTGAAATAAATTTAATTAAAATTTAATTAAAATTTGATTGATCTGATTTATTCTTTTTTTATTTGCTTCATTACTGGTAATGTTTTTATTAATAATTTCTTTTGTTCATTCAAGAAAAAGTTGTATTGATACGAGGAATATTAATCATAGATAGAAATATATCTATTTATATCTTTCCTTATCAATGTCAATGTGATATTATCTCAAATTAAATGGTTTAGAGTAATATCTCAAATTATATGGGAAAGAG